TCCTCCTCCTCCTCCTCCTCCTCAGCAGCAGCAACATCCGCGTCCTCGTCCTTATCCTCATCCTCATCCCTCCCGCTCCTCCATCCCAGCGATCCTCGTCGTGCGGATTTCGGCTCGTAACTCGGGCCTCCGGCCTTCAGCGGCCGTTCGGGACGATTCCGCCCCCCGCCCCCCAGATCGCTCTCGACGAGGCGCAGCTGATCGAAACCACCCATGGTCTCGAAATTCTTGAAAAGCGAAAAAAACTCCCCCTTCTGGGCCTTCCTCATCGTCTGCTGTGCCTGCACCCGAGCTGCAGGAGGATACTGCGGCCCAGCTCGCTGCTGTCAGAGATAGTCTCCGTCGGGAGGGGTAGGTGGGTCGGGAGGCGAACATTGCTGGCTCTGGAGATTCTGACTAACCTAACCTGTGCAGGTAGTCCCTCCGAGCGGCGTCCCTCTCTCTCAATCTCTGCTGCGGGCTCCTCGTCGGCCATCCTCGAGCGGGCCCCGCTCCTCCTGCCGCCCAGGCTGCAGGCATGCGATGTGTGTCTTTCTTTGTGTGCCGTGTTGTCTGATGTCAGACGTCTACGTTCTGGAATTTGGGGATAGCGGGTCGTTCCGCCGGTTCTCGCCCACCACGCTTCGGCGCAGCACGCTGTCCACTTCCCGGTCCTCCGGCGTCAACGTCCCGCGCGCTGACAGACCCCCAAACCCACACAGCGGAGCGACGCGCTAGCCGCTCAGGTCCGGACGTGTCGCCCGGGGCCGCAGGGGCGACACGCTTTCCAAGAGTTCCCGACCGTAAAGCCCCCTCGACGCCCGTGTAAATCAGCAGGGAAAGAAACACACAGACACAGTTTATCGTCGACCCCCAGGAAGATATGGGAAAATATGGGAAGTGAAGGGGGAAGACGAAAACCCATAGAATATGCAGAGATATAGGGAACCCTGCTATTTGAGTCTATTTACTTGTGTGTCCCTCGGCCCCTTTCAGTAAACCAGTGCTCCGGCACACACTTCCAAGATCTTCACGGTCCAAGCGTGCGCCGCCGCCCGCGGCGTCCTCCCTCCCTCCGCGCCTCTTTTGCTCCTGTTGTGCCCAACTCGGCCCCGAAGCGTCCTTTGGCTGTCCCGACCGCGGCTTGGACCCAAGCCGCCGCTGACACAAAAGCTTGACGTGTGTCACCGAGCGCGTTCCACTGCTCGCAAAGTGCCTGCTCGCACAAACGTCCGAAAAAAACCATACGTCCGCCTTCGTGCAATATGCCGTAGATCCCCCGCGGCGGATCAAGGCCATTTGCGAGCAGTTACTTTGCGAGCAGTGGAGCGCGCTCGTCTAGTTTGAAGCCCCTCGATGGGACGCACCCGCATCAGCGGCACGACAATCTCGCAGTCCAGCGTGGTCTCTGCCGCGCGGATCGCCTGCTGCCTCGTCTCGGCGACCCCCTCGGGCCCACCGTCTTGTCACGAAGCGCGCCAGCTGCCCGAGCCACTCCGCGCGCGCTCCGTTCGGAGGGGCCGAAGGGGCCCGGGGTGCCTGCAGCGGCAGGCACTCGCGCGATGGGCGGTTCGGTCCTGGGCCGTTGTCGCTCCTCCCTTTTTCCTCCCGCCCCCTGCACGCTGCGCCTTGCCAGGCGCTCCAGAACGTTGCCTTGCCCCGCTGCGCTGGCCCCGCGCCTTCAATTTTTCTGCCCCCTCTGTTCTTCGGGCTGGGCTCACGTCGGGCATGTCCCTCTGCAGGAGAAAAAGTTTAAGATAGTCAAAGACTGGGCCGGGAGCGATTTGTCTTACCATTCGGGGCTATTTCTGGACACTCTTTGACTATTGTTCGTTTCTCTTCCAAGATCCGCCTCTAGGAGGACATGCCCAACCTAAGTCGAAGAAGAAAAAACACCATAAGCGTAAACTGTTGGCGCTCCGCGCGGATCTCTTGGATCCGCGACGGGCCCCCAGGGCGGTGCCTCCGGCGCCGCCCCTGGCGCGCTCCGCGCGCCAGGGAGGGGGGCCCCGCCCCGGGAAATCCGCGCGGAGCGCCAAAAGTTTATTCTTATGGCGCTTTGGTTATTCTTCTACTACTACTACTACTACTACTACTACTACTACTACTACTACTACTACTACTACTACTACTACTACTACTACTACTACTACTACTATTACTACTACTACTACTACTACTACTACTACTACTACTACTACTACTACTACTACTACTACTACTACTACTACTACTACTACTACTACTACTACTTGGCATCGCTCGGACGTGTGCATGTTTCCTTCGGCGAGGACCATCGAGGAGCAGCCTTCCTCATCTGGCGGAAAAAAAAAGAAAAAGAGAGAGAGAGAGAGAAAACAAAAAAAAAAAAAAAACCTGGCGAAGGACCCAACCATATGCAGTTGTGAATGCCGCAATTGTGCTGGGTGGTGGCGGACGCATGCGGGCGGTGCCACTGGGACCTTCGGTGGAGCTCCCTATGGGGCCACGAAACGCTGTACTGGGTGGGTGAGACGCGGTCAGCAAGGGCTGTGCTGCGTGGTGGCGGACGCATGCGAGCGGTGCCACTGGGACCTTCGGTGGAGCTCCCTATGGGGCCACGAAACGCTGTACTGGGTGGGTGAAACGCAGGCAGGGAGCAAGGGCTGTGCAGGGTGGTGGCGGACGCATGCGGTGCCGGTGGCCGCATGCCAGGCACCTGGGGCCTTCGGTGGAGCTCCCTATGGGCCACGAAACGTGTGAGGGGTGTGCCGAAATGGGGGGTGGAACCGCATGCGAGCGCAGCCACTGCGGCGTTCGGTGGAGCTCCCTATGGGGCCACGAGACGTGTGAAGGGCGTGCCGAAAAAAGGGGTGGAACCGCATGCGAGCGCAGCCACTGGGGCCTTCGGTGGAGCTCTCTATGGGGCCACGAACCGTGTGAGGGGTGTGCCGAAATGGGGGGGGGAACCACATGCGAGCGCAGCCACTGGGGCGTTCGGTGGAGCTCCCCATGGAGCCACCCACGAAGCGTGTGAGGGGTGTGCCGAAATGGGGGGTGGAACCGCATGCGAGCGCAGCCACTGGGCCTTCGGTGGAGCTCCCTATGGGGCCACGAAACGTGTGAGGGGTGTGCCAGAATGGGGGGTGGAACCGCATGCGGGCGCAGCCACTGGGGCCTTCGGTGGAGCTCCCTATGGGGCCACGAAACGTGTGAGGGGTGTGCCAGAATGGGGGGTGGAACCGCATGCGGGCGCAGCCACTGGGGCCTTCGGTGGAGCTCCCTATGGGGCCACGAAACGTGTGAGGGGTGTGCCAGAATGGGGGGTGGAACCGCATGCGGGCGCAGCCACTGGGGCCTTCGGTGGAGCTCCCTATGGGGCCACGAAACGTGTGAGGGGTGTGCCAGAATGGGGGGTGGAACCGCATGCGGGCGCAGCCACTGGGGCCTTCGGTGGAGCTCCCTATGGGGCCACGAAACGTGTGAGGGGTGTGCCAGAATGGGGGGTGGAACCGCATGCGGGCGCAGCCACTGGGGCCTTCGGTGGAGCTCCCTATGGGGCCACAGAATGGGGGGTGGAACCGCATGCGGGCGCAGCCACTGGGGCCTTCGGTGGAGCTCCCTATGGGGCCACGAAACGTGTGAGGGGTGTGCCAGAATGAGAGGTGGAACCGCATGCGGGCGCAGCCACTGGGGCCTTCGGTGGAGCTCCCTATGGGGCCACGAAACGTGTGAGGGGTGTGCCAGAATGGGGTGTGGAACCGCATGCGGGCGCAGCCATTGGGGCCTTCGGTGGAGCTCCCTATGGGGCCACGAAGCGTGTGAGGGGTGTGCCAGAGTGGGGGCTGGAACCGCATGCGGGCGCAGCCACTGGGGCCTTCGGTGGAGCTCCCTATGGGGCCACGAAACGTGTGAGGGGTGTGCCAGAATGGGGTGTGGAACCGCACGCCAGCGCAGTCACTGGGGCCTTCGGTGGAGCTCCCTATGGGGCCACGAAACGTGGAACCGTGACTGGGGGTGTGCCAGAATGGGTGTGGGAGGGGGAGGAGGGGGGAGGAGGGAGGGAGGAAGGAGGCGGGAACGCGGGGCACCGTCTCGTCAAAACGAGGACCCAACACCACAGGATGGTTGGGAAAAACTACTACAACAACAACAAAAGAAAAAAACGCACGAAACCGACAAAAACGCAGGGAATGGACGTCCGAGCGATGGCCAGACTAAGGCTGGGCTCGGCCTGCCGCCCGCCAGCGCTCGCCGATGCGCCTCGCACTCCGCCCCGCGGCCGCCAGCCCGCGGCCGGCGCCCCCAACGCCCCTTTCGCCCGCCCCGCCCCCCCCCCCTGGAGGGTTTCTCCGAAGGGCCTGGGCGACCCCTCCTCCTCCTCCTCCTCCCCCTCCTCCTCCTCCTCCTCCTCCTCCTCCTCCTCCTCCTCCTCCTCCTCATCATCATCATCATCATCATCGTCCTTCCTCCTCCTCCTCCTCCTCCTCCTCCTCCTCCTCCTCCTCCTCCTCCTCCTCCTCCTCCTCCTCCTCCTCCTCCTGCCTCCTCGGGTCGCCTACGGTCCCCAGGGGTATCCGAGCACACACCCCTCACTTTGGCTTAAGTCGGGCATGTCCCTCTACAGGAGGAGTATTCAAAAAAATAGTCCAAACATGGTCTGGGGACGATTTTGTTTGCCGTCGCTTACTCTTCTTGATGACTTGTTGGCTATTTTGGGGGGGGAGGGGCGCGGCCCCCTTCGTTCACCAGAGACACAAGTTACCACCGCCACCAGCCACGGGGGTGGCCGCTCCTCCCCCCTTCGAGCTGGTGGTACCTCCCTCTGGGTATTCCTCCAGGGAGTGCCCGGAACGGGGTGCTGAAGAAGGTACCCTTTTCGTTGGGGAGGGGCTCGGTGTTCCTTGATTGTTCCATGGGAGATCGAAGTGTAACTTATGGGAAAAGGGGGCCTCGTTCCTTGTTTAGGGTTCCTTAGGTCAACGCCCCGACTGTAGCTGGTGGCAGTGGTACTTTTGTCTCTTCTGATTCGTCGCTCGCAGGACGCCGCGGCCGAAGGGGGCGGCGCCGCCGGCGCCGCGGCGGGGGCGCCCTGCGGCCCTCGCGCGGCCTGGGCGGAGGCCCCGGGCTCGGGCAGCCTGCGCGCAGCTCTCCAGCCGGTCGGGGGGCGTCGTCGTCGTCGGCGCCGGCGTCGTCGGCGTCGGCGTCATCGTCGTCCTCGTCGTCGTCCTTCCGGGGGGCCGACACCGGGCGAGCCCCAGGGCCCCCCTCTTTGGCCCCTCGCGCGGAGCGCCCTCGGAGGAGCCCACGGGCGGGCACCCCGTGGGCGTCAGCCTGACGCGTGCCGGAAAAGGGGCCCACTGCTCGAAGAAGAAAGAACGTCATGACACGGGAGAAAAAACCCTTCCCCTCCTCCTCCTCCTCCTCCTCCTCCTCCTCCTCCTCCTCCTCCTCCTCCTCCTCCTCCTCCTCCTCCTCCTCCTCTCCTCCTCCTCCTCCTCCTCCTCCTCCTCCTCCTCCTCCTCCTCCTCCTCCTCCTCCTCCTCCTCCTCCTCCTCCTCCTCGTGTTTCCTCCTCCTCCTCCTCCTCCTCCTCCTCCTCCTCCTCCTCCTGTTTCCTCCTCCTCCTCCTGTTTCCTCCTCCTCCTCGTCCTCCTCCTCCTCCTCATCCTCATGCTCCTGTTCCTCCTACGATTATTCCTCCGTCCTCCGATTTGATTTGGCGTTGTCTCAGTTGTCGAAGAAGAAAAGGCGCCATAAGCAGAAACTTTTGGCGATTCGCGCGGATTTCTTGGATCCGCGCTGTGCCACCCCGGCGGCGCCTCCGGCGCGCTCCGCGCGCCTGGGAGGGACGTCCAGCGCAGATCCAAGAAATCCTTGCGGAGCGCCAAAAGTTTAGGGCAGTGCCATTTGTTATTCTTCGAACTACTTCAGAAGAGAAGTAATAATCCTTACACGCAAGGACTGTTTGGGAAAATATAGGATCCCGTCAAGTCGTTCACATGCAGGAGCCCGCATTGGAAGAAACAACGGTCGCTGTAGCTACCATCATTGTCAATACGCCGCCAGTTACTTGACGCAGGCTATGTGTGTAAAAAGAGAGGTCTCGACACTTGGTCGATTGGGCCAGCGTGTACGGCCGAGTGGCACCAGATGTCACGTGTTTCGCTGCAGCAGATGAAGATCTGATATATATATATATATATATATATATCAAACCACCCCTTGGGTGATCAGGAGGTTGAGGGTTGGGGGATGATGGGTGTAGCCTTCGGCTTGCAAGTGGCATCAGATAGGATTCGTGAACGATCGATCTAACGATCGCGGTACAAATATGTTTATATACATATAAAAAAGGACGCCCACAGGCAACCGCGGGACTACCACGGGACAACCACAGGACAACCGCGAGACAACCACAGGACAACAGCCTCGGGACAACCACGCGAGAATCACGGGGCCCACCGCGGGACAACCACGGGACAGCCACGGGACGAGCGCGTGTCAGCCACGGGACAAACGCGCAACAACCACGGGACAACCGCGGGACACCGATCCAATGACCCAGAGGTTCCATTACCAACTACCGATCTCACGATCAACGAATCGGTAGATTATATTTCCGAGTGGTCACGCAATTTACCGATCGATCGCACGTTTATGTATATATATATATATAGATATATATATATATATGTATATACATATTCATATATATATATATATAACGATCTTACGATCTGTCAGTCTCACGATATAGGGACCGATCCCGCGATCTAGATATCGATCGGCCAAACTACTTATCTATGGATTACAGGGCAACCACGGGACAGCCACGGGACAACCACAGGACAGCCATGGGACAATCACGGGATAACCATTGGACATCCACGTAGCAACCATTGGACAACCACGGGACCCTCCACGGGACATCCGCGGGACAACCGCGGGTCAACCACAGGACAATCGCGGGACAATCACGGGACAACCACGGGACATCCATGGAACAACCACGGGACAACCACGGGACAACCACGGGACAATTTTGCGAACACCCCCGAATGCCGGACAACGACAGGACAATCACGGGGCAACCGTGCGAAAACCATGGGACAGCCTTGGGACAACCACGGACAACCACGGGACAGCTATGGGACAACCACGGGACGACCGCAGGACAACCCCGCGCACACACCCGAATGCCGGACACCGACTCATTTTGGTTCGACTCGGGCTTAGCTAGGCGAGGAACTCGCGCCCGCACGTCACACACGGCACGAACCGAAAGTGGAACGGATTTCGCAGTTGGGGCTCTCCGCTTCCGTTCGGCCTCACCCCCCAATTTCTAATAGTTTCCTCATTCGGCTTGCTTGACTACAGCGACGGGCCCGACGCCGTTCGCACTGCCAGCAAGCTCAGCACCGTGCCTGCCCTCCCCCTCCATGTCCTCGGCCTCCTCTCGTTGGGCGACCCGCGGATCGCTTCCGCGCTCGCTGGGGTCCTGTCGCGGGAGCGCCAGCGGGCGCAGCCGGAGCCAGAGCGGGGCCGCAAAATCCGGTGGCCCGTCCCTTCTCGATCCCGTTGTGTTGCGATTGGCGACACGCCAGTCACCAGCCCCGCGCCCCCCTCCTCCCCTCCCCTTCACCACCCACCAAACCACCAGAGCCCAACCCGAAGGCCTCAATTTGCCCTCCATTTCCAGTGGGGGGGGTTCGGGGAACATTCAGAAAACACACATGGAACCCGTACCCCCCCCACCCCGAAATTCGGGTCTTCGGGTTGGGTTGGGGTGGTCTGGTAGGTAGTCATTCCCCGGGTCACGTCAAGATTCGCGAGCCCCTTCCCGCGGTCACGTCACGATTCGCGCCGGCGTTGTCTGGGGACTGGCCGTTCCTTGGCCCCCAGAAGGCGCCAGCGCGAATCGTGACGTGGCTGGCCCCTCCGCCCCTCCCCCCGTCCTCCCCAGTCACCCCCGTTCTCGCCAAGAGAACAAGAACGGTCTCTTGCCTCGGGCGCGCGACTACGCGCGAGCCCTACCCTGCAGGTTCGCCGGGCCGTGGAGTGTCCGACCACCCCCGCCCGCAGGGGCTCATGCCGCCGAAGACGACCTTCAGGCTCTGAAGCCCCCTCGGGCTTCTCAAAAGGGGAAGCACGCGAGGGTCTGGAGCCGGCTAGGGGCCCGGCGCTGGTTCTGGCCAGACGGGCGGGGGAGTTCGAGGTTCTGGGTTCGGCGAGTCGTCGTTTGTCTCTCTCGGTCTCAGTGGGGGCCACTCTCGTGCCCCAGGAGCATCGAAAGTAGATTCAGGACGAACCCGCGGAGGGTTCCGGAGACAGATTTTGAGCGGATTTCGGCGTCATCCTCTCCCTCTTGACCGACTTCCTGGGGGAGGGGGGCGGGAGGAGGAGGAGGAGGAGGAGGAGGAGGAGCAAGCTGAAGCCCCGCGGGCGCCTCCGGGCGGGGGTAAGGTTCGCGTGCGGTCGCCCAGCCGAGCCTCCGACATACTTCCACTCCGCGCGCCGTGGCGGGAAGAATGACCGCGGTCGTTTCTCGAGGCCTTCGGCACAGTCAACCCGCACAGAAAGGATGGGCAACCTTCCCAAGGGTACCCTTGCATTCCTCCTCCTCCTCCTCCGCCTCCTCCTCCGCCTCCTCCTCCTCCTCCGCCTCCTCCTCCTCCTCCGCAACCTCCTCCTCCTCCTCCTCCTCCTCCCTCCTCCTCCCTCCTCCTCCTCCTCCTCCTCCTCCTCCTCCTCCTCCTCCTCCTCCTCCTCCTCCTCCTCCTCCTCCTCCTCCTCCTCCTCCTCCGCATCCTCCTCTTCCGCATCCTTGCCTCCTCGGCCCATCCTGCGCCACTTTCGTTGGCCGCGCGCCCGCTCGAGAAGCTGCGAACCTGCCCTCCAAGGCCTTTGCATCCTCATCGCGCACCGCTACTATACGGGTTGACGGTATACGGGTTCCACGGATGCAGCAGGCGGCGCCCTCGAGTCCACTCCTGCAGCTGTCTGTGTCAGTGAGATGTGCAATCAACTGCAGCTCGACGCTCCGATTAATTTCCGAAGCCGAAAGGGGCGACAGGGTTGTTTTGCAGCCACATTGGTTCAATCTATTCTGGCCACGCCCGAATAGGATTTACGTGATCGCAGGTGATCTGAAATTAGGGTTGCGCGGGCAACAGCAGCCCCCATGGACTCCACTTGCGCTAAAAAGCTCAGGCGCACCGTGCTCCTTCTAGATGGCAGCTATGGTCTGGAGCTGAAGCGGCGCAAGGCCGAGGGCATGGACGTTGCCTACAACCTCACGCTGTTCTCGACGGCAGCGCTGAGGGATACTCCCGAGGCGGTGAAGCAGCTTCACCAGGATTACATCAAGGCAGGGGCGCAGGTCATCACCACTGCCAGCTACGCGGTGACAAAGTTCTACCTGGACAAGATAGGCGAGGGCCACCGAGTCGCCGAGTTGTGCGCGCGGTCTATGCAGCTCGCGCGCGATGCGATTGCGGCAGAGCAGGCTGGTGGAAGAGTCATGATTGCCGCTTGTGTGCCACCCCTCGGCGAGTCCTACCAGACCACTCCGCTGACGGAGGTGGAGATGCGCGCGCAATATGCTGAGGTGCTCCAGGGACTGCGCGGTGCCGACATCTACCTGTGCGAAACGTTTGCTTCAGTTTCTGAGGCGAGACTCGCAGCTGCAATGTGTCGCGAGGGAGCATCAAACAATACCCGCATTTGGGTAAGTTTCACACCTCGTCGCGATATCCAGAGGGGCGGATGCCATCTTGCAGATGGCTCGACGATTGAAGAGGCCGTTGCTGCTGTTGGTAGCATGGATGGCTTGGAGGCTGTACTCTTCAATTGCGCAACTCCTGAGCTTATTCAGCTTGCCATCAGCGAGTCGGTGAATGCCAGTGAGAAGCTCAATCTTGTTTCTCGCCTGAGAATTGGAGGCTACGCCAACTTTTGGGAAGAGGTGGATTTGGAGGGCTGGTCCATCGACAAGCAGGAGAGTGAGACAGGGAAATCTGATCAGAAATCCGGAGGCATGATCGTGCGTAAAGACTTGACAGATGAGGAGTACGCCCACAAGGCTATCACATGGATCCAGACTGGTGCTTCCATTGTTGGAGGTTGCTGCGGAATCGGCCCATCAACAATCGCGCGCATCTCGAGAGACGCCAATATCGGAAACCACGAAGTGCTTCGCGAAGACCCGTCAGCAAAGTGACTTGTGGACTGGCGGAGGTGCGCCCCCTTCCCCGAAACTTGTGCCCGGCGCGGCCGGAATGGCCGAAACGGGATCGGGCGTCCGCTGCGCCAACGTGCACGCCGGACAGACAGCGCAGCGAGGCGCAGGAGCAGGAGGAGGTGGTACGGTGGGAGCGTTGGTTCAGGAAGATGCCCAGGAGGTTTCAGACCCCGGGGGGGTCCTCATCCGAGCAGGGCGGCGGTGACGCCCATGACCAGAGCATCACTTGGAGTGCCCACTGGCTTCCAGACCCTGGATTCCTTATCCAGCGCTTCCTGATCCAAGTGCAGTATACGTACTTATCACGTGCAGGTGAATATTCCACGAAGTGGTCCCCTATGCTGCCTGATGAAAAAATAGTAATTCCTTGTCCAATGCCCTCACCGTAAGTGTTTTGCTCCCGCCCCGGAGCCTGACACCCGGAGGCCCCCAGAGGTCCCCGCGGGCCTCCCGGGGGGCCTCCGGGGGTCGGGCGAGGCCAGGACCGGGCCCAATCCGCTCCGGCGCGTGCCGGGGCGCGCTGCTCGGGGCGTCCTGCGAGCGCTGCGAGCAGGCCGCGGCGCCCGATGCCCTCCTCCAGGATAGGGGGGCCACGTGCGAATACCTACCCCCACCCCCCCCGCGATTTCTGAGGGGGAGGGGGGGTTTCACCTCGCTCGGGAGCTCTCGAGCGAAGGGAACCCCAGCCTCGCCCTCAGGAGTCGTAGGGGGGGGTAGGGGGAGGGTTTGCAGGTGGCCACCTGCCAGAGTCGCCAGATCTCAGAGGTCCTCGGGCATCTTCACCCGAGGTGGTCCTCGTCGCGGCCTCGTCGTACCGCGGGCCCGAGGAGGGCCGAGAGAACCTCGGCAGGCCTCCCCCCTCGGGCCTCGAGCGTCGGCGGCGGTGGGACTTGGCAGGAGGAGGCGGAGGAGAGGAAGGAGGCCAGACGTAGGGTTAAGTCGGGCCTGTCCCCCATACAGGGGGATTTTCGACGAAAGATAAAAAATACCCCAAAAATGCCCCAGAGAGGTCAAAAAATACTCAAAAAATAGTTCCCAGACTATTTGTGGATTATTGTTTTATTTTTTGGGGGGTATTGTTTATTTTTCGTCGAACATCCCCCTGTAGGGGGACACGCCCGACTTAAACGTAGGGGTGGTAAGCTGGGCGCTCGAGCTCTGTTGTGGCGCGTGTTCTCTGGAGTACTGACCACGGCTCGGGTCGTCTGGTGTGACGTCGACGAGAAAGAGGAGGACGCAGTCGGCGGTTCAAGGATGGTCCTGAGGAATGAGGTCCGGAGGACGAGGTGCCTCGAACAATGAAAGTTTAATATGGGATCCGTTCCTATTTTTGGGCCCAATCCCTGACGGCCTCATCCCTGAACCGCTGGGCAAAGGAGAGCGGGAGGAGGAGGAGGAAGAGGAGGAGGAGGAGGCAACACCCTGATCAGTCCTGCCTGCTCGATATGCTACGCAGTTTAACGTGCGATGTCCGTTGTACTGGCTGCCTCGGTCTGGCGTCCGCTGGAGCATTCGTTTCTGCGTGCGCCAATGATCCTCCTGCTCCTGTGCTATACTACAGGCTGGGAAAGGCTTTTCCCAACGCCGCAACATGGTCCAACGCCGCATAATTGGAGGACTTGTGAGAGCGATGGTTGCACTATGTGATACAGTGGCCGAACACACTGCGCCGACGCTGGTTCCACTGTTTCTGGGCGGGTGGGGAGGGAGACGGGCCCGCTGGCTCGCTGCCGGTTCCATTGTCTCCGGGCGTGCGAGGAGGAATGGGGGCCTCCACTGCTCCTGGGCGGTCTGGGAGGGAGAGGGGCCCGCTGACTCGCTCGACACCTTTCCTTGCTGTGTCGACGAGATTGGCTCTGGGGCGGGCGCGTTCGCGCTCTCGCGGGCCATGCCACCCTGGGGCGGAGTGGGCGAGACTGAACAAAGAAGATTCACTCGTTGAGTGTCCGCTGATGAGGAAGTGGGGGTGGATGCAAACATTGCGAACGTGGATTAGGGAGGAGGAGGAGGAGGAGGAGGAAGAAGAAAATGAGAACGTGTAAGATGTAGTCGGGGCATGCCCGCGCCCCAAGCCGGGCAACTTGCGGAGAGTTCTCCTGATGTACGCGCTGCGTGCCAGGTCGAACCACGGACGTTGCAAAAGCCTCGCGAAAACCAGGGCCCCAAACCAGGCGAATGGCGAGGACTTCTCAAGCGAAACCGTGCCCAAACCAGGGAGAACCGACCAAATTTGGAGGACGTCTCAAGCGAAACTGCGCCGAAACCACGTGAAACCAATTGCGAGGACGTCTCAAGCGAAACGGGTTCAATACCAGGCGAAACCAAGCGAAGTCACGCAACTTGCGAGGACGTCTCAGGCGAAACCGCGCTGAGACCAAGCTAGAACAGGCGAATTGCGAGGACGTCTCAAGCAAAACCAGGCCCAAACTCAAGCGAAACGCGCCGAAACCGAGCAAATGGCGAGGACATCTCAGGCGAAACCAAGGCGAAACCAAGCAAATTGCGAGAACGTCTCGGGAGAAATCAAGCCCAAACCAGGCCAAACCATTGAAGTTGTGAGGACGTCTCAAGCGAAACCGGGCCCAAACTAGGCCAAACCAGGGGCCAAGACAAGCAGATTCGGAGGATGTCTCAGGCGGCTTGCGCCGCCCAATCAAGCCAAATCAGACCAAACCAGGGGCCAAACCAGGCAGATTGTGAGGACCTTCCAAGCAGAATCGCCTAAACCAGGCTCCACCCACTCTTCTTCATAAATTTCGAAGTGAAGAAGAGTGGGTGACCCCAGTCCCCCCCCCCGGCGCGAGCCCGTTTAGAATTTTATGGGGGAGGCGTTTGGACCACATGTCCGCTGAGGCGGACGGGGTTGGGCGCGGAAGGGTTCGTTTGTCTTTCGGTGATTCTTGGGGCCTTGGTGTGGCGTAAGGAGTTATGTTTCCGAGTCTGTAGTTTTGCGAATTGCCCCTCTATGGTTTCACATGTGCGTTACCACTGTGTTCTTGTGCCGCGGTTGAGCGAAGATCCCCCCTGCGATAGGATTCAGGGGCCGTTGCATTAGTCTGCTCGGGCCCCCGTAGTCCGACCGACGATGCACCGCTCAGAGATTTGTCCGCCCCGTACCTGGCCGCTTACAGCGTCGGCTGGGCCTGGTCGACTGCTGTGCCCTATCGGCTCGTCTGAACTCGTGGGCGCGGCAAGGGGGGGAAGTGCGAGGGAGCAGGCCCTCCCAGAGGGCAGCGGCGCCTCTCCGGGGCCACCCGGCCCTCTGAGTGGCCGCCAGCGTCCCCGGAGGAGGCTCCGAAGGGTTCTCCCAGGAGGCTGCTTTTGGGGGCGGAAGCCTCGGGATTTTCGGTCCGTATCCTCCCTCGGGGGCCCCTCTCGGGGCCGTCTTCGGGCCCTCCTGGGGCCGTCTTGGGCGCCTCTCGGGCCGTCTTGGGGCCCTCTCGGGCCGGCGTGGGGCGGTCTCGGGAGCCTCTTGGGCCGTCCTGAGGCGGTCTTGGGGGTCTCTCGGACCGTGTCGGAAACTCGAACAAGTGCAAAGACAAACAGCATCTAAAAAAACAACGGAAAAGCAATGTTTTTTGCCTGTTGGAGCCCTCTTGCGAACGGTCTTGGGGCTTTCTCGGAGGGTATCCAAGGCTTCTTGAGCCGTCTGGAGGTCATCTTGGGCCTTTTGAATGCATCGTTCGATGGCTCTGGAGCCCTCTTGGGCCTCCTTGCGCCCTCTTGGCCCTTTCCGCCCGTTCAGGGGCCGGCCAGGGGTCTTGGAAGCAGTCCGGGGCCCCGGTCCCCCCTCGGAGGATCGCGGCAGCGGTTTTCGGGCCCCGGGTATGCCCCCCCCAGGGTATATATATATATATATATATAGAGAGAGAGAGAGAGAGAGAGAGATGGATGGATGGATGGATGGATAGATAGGTAAATAGATCTTTATCTATCTATCTGTATATATATACATATATATACACTTTTATATATATATATATATATACAGATTCTAGGAGCCCCCACAGGATGCAACCCCTGGGGGGATTCAGTTCAGCATCGGCGCTGGTCTCTCAGTGGTCGAAAACCAGCCCAATCGGGCATCCTCCCGTTCAAGTCCACCTAATGTTGCCCAATCCAGCGTCATCGGCCTCAGTCCCAGGCCTAATCCGTGCTAGTCCGGCCCAATGGCGCCCCAATCGGGCTCAGCGGCCTCTAATCGTCGCTCTTACGAAGACCTCCCAGCAGTTGTCTCCTGAACTCGCCGTGGAGGAAACGGGGTCCTGAGGGACACGAGTCTCGGAGAGTTCTTTCTCCGAGCTCGGGCTCCTGGGGCCCTCCCCAGGCCCCGGGACCGCCAGCAAACCACGCGGGCGGAACAGCTGGTGGTCTGGGGCAGGGGTCCAGGACCCGACGTCAAGATGATTGCCTCTGTCATGGCCACTTCCTCCCCTCCCCCCCGACAAAAAAGGTAGCAGTGCGCTGCAAAGATCTGCGTGTCCAGTTCCGGTTTGCGAGACGTGGCTCCAGGAAGCATGGCTCAAGACGTGGTTCCCGGAAGCATGGCTCGAGACGTGGCTCCAGGAAGCATGGCTGTCTGGGGCCCCGCACGCTCTTCCGAGGTTGCCTGGAGCACTGGGTGTTTCGCCAATTCCCACACGGGTCGGCTCTGCAGGTTCCAAAACGAGCCAGTCACCTGCTCGGGGATGCCACGACAAAGGACGCTCGAAGCACTCTCTATACGCACTTCCCATGGAATCCACACGCTCAGCCACTCGGCTGTCGGCTGCTTCTGTCGGCCCATTACAGTCCTTGAGC